GTACAAATAAAAGGCAGATGGGGAATGTGGGGCCCATGAAGGCACGTGAGCCGCATGAGAGGCTGGGTTGGATCATGCTTTTCTTGCATTCTTTCAACTATAGCAAGCATTTATCTGCCTTTAAATTGGAGTGAAAGCAAGGTTTGTTCCATGTCATGAAAAGAAGTATGAAGGTACTAAAGATCATGCTCATTTCATGGTCGCATTGAATTTGGTTATAATTTTTGTTGAATTTTTTCTTTTTGCACAACTTGTCGATCTAAGGGCAAGAATAGAGGTTTGCAATTTTTCTGAATAGACTCCGACCACTGGGACTCATGGAGTGCGGCACATCGTTTGGCAGAATCCACTGTTAAAATTGAGTAGTAGATGTTACACTTGGCTCTCAAGAACTATCATTTAAACCATTTAATCACTCAATTAACATTCGATGTGGAACTAAATCCTAGGGTATCACAAATCTAATCTAAAGTCTTATATTAACTGTCATGTGAAAGAAAAGAATATTATTAGTATTGCTTCTTTTAAAGCAATGAATGAATCTACTTTTTAATATTCATATTCAAAAAGCAGCACAAATCATGGTCGGGTTTATAATTCCCAACTACCATTCTCGCAATGATTGCAATAATAAAAGGTTGGTTTACAAATTTCAATCTTCCAAGCGGTAAGCTACACTTTGATCTTTAATAAAAATTTTAATCAAGAGCCCATAACTCGCTTTCCAGCGACAAGAAACTCCATCAGAAGCTCCTATCGCAATCAACCAGGGTCCTTCGATATCTTGCTTGGTCTGCAAAAGTATTTGACATAGTTAAGCATTAATCTACCCTAGCTCCGGAGCCGATTCACTTACTTGCATCGGTGGACAAGCCAAATCATTATAATGAAAAAGAAACAAGTTTCGATTCCCCAAAATAATAAAATAGAATTAAAATAAAATAAAATAATAGTAGGGGTTATTTCGATATTAGCCCCTCACATATTCAAATGTTTCGATATTAGCCCCCAATCTTTGAAATTGATTTCAAGCCCCCCAAAATCCTATTAGTAAGTTGAAATAAGTCCACCCGGTTAAAATCCGGTTGAAATGGGGGAATGTTCTGTTTACTAACTTTTTTGGTGGTTTGCCAGTTATACTCAACTCTCTCACACAAATCCAAACTCATTAACCACTTTAACCTATGCCCGTTAAGCTCCCCCAAACTATTTTCCAATTCATCTTCTCCAGCAACTCTCTTCAGCTCTAATCACAAATTTACACCGAATAGATACCCGTTGAGGAAGAAGTTGGAGAAGATACTAGAGAAGATGAAGTGAGAAAAGGTTTGAATTGGGGTTTTATTAATCAAATTTGGGGAGCTTAATGAGTATAAGTTAAAGTGGTTAATGAGGTTGAGTTTATACAAGTTCGGTATAATTGGAAAATCAACGAAAAGTTTATTAGACTGCATATTTCCCCCATTTTAACTAGGGGCTTATTTCAACATACAAGATTTGAGTGGCTTGAGATAAGTTTCAAAGATTTTGGGGCTAATATCGAAATATTGAAAGTGGTGGTGGTTTTTTTTGTTGGGGGTGGGAGTGTTCTTGCTAAGATCAATTTCAGAGATTTAGGCGGCTAACTGATATCCAAAAAAACATAATAAAAACCTTAATAATAAAGCCTTCAGCAGTTTACATGTTAAATACACGCTACATTTACACCCTATATCATTAGTACAAAGCCCAAAATCACCTGGAAGATGCAAGTGAGAACTTACATGTATCGTTTGGCTCTATACAATATCACGACAACATGGAAAACAACACCAAGATCAGTTACATTAACCCAATATTTTTATGAACAGCCCAATACAAACCTCCAGTCGTTAATACATCATATATGCCCAAAAATTGCCTGGAAGAAGCAAAAGAGAACATATATATCAATATATCATTTGGTTCTGTACAACACCATGATAACATGGGAAAATATATTATGATCCATCGATCCAGTGACATTTGATGATACATGAGTCGACCACTTCTATGAACAGGAGAACACAACCTTGAGCAGTCTACATGTCAAAAACAAACTCTGTATTCACAACCTACAAGCCCAAGAATCCCCTGGAAGGTGCAAGAGAGAACTCCTGTACCATTCGTCTCTATACAACCATGCTAACATGGAAACAATACTAAAATCAGTGATATTCGTCAATGTACGGTTTCTAGCATTTCTCTGAGCGGTACCTGGGCACACTTGCCGAGGAGCTACGTCTCTGGCTCTATAACTCGAGTCACGATACCAACTGCAATAGTATTACCTGCAGCTCTTAGGATTACCCTCCCGAGGACCCGACACTCGGAGAATGCTTCAACACAAACTGCTTCATCCAGGGAAACCTGATATGCAATCAGGAAAAATAACTTCAGTGTTTTCCATAGCCCAAATGAAATGTTAAATCTTTGAAGTTGGAGTGAACAATTAGCGGTTGTTTGGCTGCATGCAATTGTGATTACAATGCAACTGCCAGTTGCATGCAAATGCAGTCGTTGCAATTGCCGTTGCATGTAGTCGTTGCCACATTTGTTTGGTTCAGTTTTAAAATCATGCAAATTGCAGTCGCAGTTGCACGTTTACGTTTGGGGTTGAGGGTTGAGTTTTTTCTTTAAAATTTTCATTTTATTTTATTTATGACCGGGGGAGGACAAGGTTACAGATCCAGCCAAAAAACCACCTCTTGCAGACTTATGCCCGAATTTGTACAAGTCAAACTGGAACAGGTCAAGTTGAGTATCTATCCCGTGAAATAAGATGAACATAATCTCATTCACTACATGCTATATGACATCAGCTACGAAAGGTTTATACAAAAAAAAAAAGAGATTGAAATTGATGTCTCCTCACCTCTATTATAGCACTTTGTTTAGCTGTAAGCAAACGTGGCGGTCTTTTGGAGGACTTTCCAGATTTCGGATCTATCAAAGACAATATCTTCACCACTTTTGCTGCTGTCCTTGCATGATGTATGTGAAACTCAACCTGCATTTTATCTTCTGTGAGATCCGGGAATGGAAATACTAACCATTGGTTAAAAAAACAGTAGAAATATGATGCTTGCCTGAGATCCAATCAGGATTGGTGCTGTAATTGCCAACACGAGGATCTTGAGCTCCAATGTGGAGGCAACAGTCACAGGAAAATCTGGGAGACAAAGCACCCCGCCAGGAATTACATGACCGCCATCTATTCCTTGCAAACTTACAGCAACATTATCTCCAGCTCTTGCAACACTGCATGGAGAAGAATCTCTCTCTATAGCCCGTATTGTTGCTAAATCACCTGAAGGCATTACTAGTACCTGAACCAAAAATGAATTGTCACTTGCAAAGTTTTTTCCTTTTTTTTTTCTTTTTTCTCTTTTTGGGGGTTGGGGGGTGGGTTCAAGAAATGACTGAGAAGAGAAATCATGTTATCATCAATGAGAAAATATACTACTATAAATTGGTTACTTTGCATCATTTTCTTGACAGAGAACCTTTACCCCTTTGTTCCAATGGTAAAACTACAAGATATTTAGCCTATATTTCTTGTGATTTGTCTTAAAGGGATAAAAAATAAACGCTAACTAAAGGCTGATAGGATGACAGTGATTTCAGATAAGGGCGAGGACATTGAATCCAAGTTCCCTCATCTTAACAAGTAGCAGATTTATTAAATTCATGTGCCAAAACGTCTCGCTGCAAGCTTTTCCTACTATCCTCATCTTTTTCTCTACTTAAGTCTTCTTACTCTTTCTCGAATCTTCGAGGAAAAAAAAACTAAGCCCCTCTCTGCCTTATGGGACATCCTCATATCATAAACAGTGTATAGCCTCATGCTACCTTTTTGCTTGTCCTCATTGTCACACATCATATATTTGCTTTATTGTTCTCGCTCTGTATATTTTTTAAATTCAAAAACATTTTACTCCTATTATTTAATAACTTATGGACAATCCCATTCTGGTTTTTAACAATGCAATTCCTACTTTTCATACTCTATTTTTCTCTGTGCACCATTCTTCTTCTCTTTCTTTCATTCATTCCCCCCCTTTTTTTGGCGTGTGTTTCAAAGTCGCTGAATCTCTTCCCTTGACCACCGATTAACCTTGAGACTCCACCAGTATTCTTCTCCCTCTTTACATTTATTATTCTCATTTTACAAATTTTAAAGTACTTGATGTTTCTCGCAACTCCTTGATGCATTACCTCTAACCCCAGTCATCTTTCCTTGCCTTAAGAATCTCTTGACCATGTTTCTCGCAACTCCTTGATGCATTACCTCTAACCCCAGTCATCTTTCCTTGCCTAAGAATCTCTAGACCACTGTGAACACAGACAATGTTCCGATATAATGGAAGACCCCTAAATATGGTGTTATGAAAGTAAAATGAAATGGATTTTATGTGGTTAACTGAAACCTTAAGACATCATTTTGGCAGAATGAAACAGGGATTTATTTCCTAAAGGCGTAAACCCATGTTCAAACCAGCTACATAAATAATAAGAGACAGATATAATACCTTAGATCCACTTCTAAGAGCTCCTCTCTCCAATTTACCACAAGCAGCCACTTGTCCCAATGAATGTGAGGAAATACCATCACATATAGGCAAAAGAAGTGGCTTCGAAACTTCCCGAGGTGGAGACTGCAAAGAATCTATAGCATCCAGGAGATAACATCCTTCGTACCTGAAAAAAAAGGTTTCTTTTAACATTTAAAGCAAGGGAAATGTCCAGAAAATTTCTTAAGTACTTTACAAAGCATAAATGATGCATGCTTCAAATATTTATGTTTCAAAATGACACAAGTATAGACAGTTGTACACATTTCTCAGCCATTCATGAAGAAAGAAAGTTCCGCGCCGCTGATGCACTGTAACAACATTAAATATCAGATAAGAAACAAAAAGTCCTTAAATATATGCGACTCAAATATCATCAGGTTTCTCTATCTCCACTTATTAAAGATACATCAGAACCCTTGACGCCTTCATCTTTATTTAATTTGTTCACTCGAGAATAGCCCCAACGAAAAATCTTTGAGGACTCAGGACTGCACTCAAAGCCATGCACTAAATTTAAATAAGAAATCAGGCTGAAATTTCCTTTTTGTTTTCATATACTAATTGATATTTATTTCCTCGAGTTTCGTGGCATATGAATGATTAAATTCTGAAATCATTGAGTGAATAAAGGAAGATGGAAACCAAAAGGAAAAAATTTAAGAAATACAATATATGACTAGGAAACTTTTGCAGTTGCACGCATCTGAAAGAGCGTCATGCTAGTAATATATTACATAAATAGATGGCCACAATAATTAGTACACAGTGCATTTTTATACACCAGTATAAAACAAAATTTATGTGTAAATGTCAACAAGTTGCTTTTTTTTTTTTGAGATTAACCAAGCTGCCCAAAAATATATGGACAAGGGATTCAGAACCAGATATAGCAATTAGCAAACATACCAACAAGTCAAACGAACATCCGAAGCAGGTGATATCAAATTTTGATTTTCCATCACGCTTAAAGGAACCCAAGTCACATTTGATTCCTTAAATCCATAGGAACGAAGGAAAGAACCCAGTTGCACTTTAATATCATCAAATCTTCCCCTTGAGTACTCCACCACATCCATCTTATTAACAGCAATAATGATCTGCTCAACACCAAAACTCCTAATAAGTTGTGCATGCTCTCTCGTTTGTCCAAAACCATTTCCACCCAAACCAGCTTCAAAGGAACCTATGGAAGCATCCACAACAAGAATGGCAGCATCTGCTTGTGTCACACCAGATATCATATTAGGAACAAAATCTTTATGGCCTGGAGAATCAAGTAAAACAACACGGTATTTCTCAGTTTTGAAATATGCAACAGTGCTCTCATCCATTGCCCAAGCATAAGTGAATGATCCTTTCCCCTGCATTTAGGAATGTGTTTGGTTGTTTCTTAAAAGTGAATGTCAACAAAAACAAGTGTTGACTTAGAAAAATCAAACACGTTCTACAAAACTTAAGGAGAAGTTAGCAGACCTAGCACACTGAACATGGTGCCCAATAATTGGGACTAAAAGAAAAACAGTTTGGCAAACCTACAGCAGTTTATCAAGTACATAAAGCACATATGATGACTCGACCAAATTGAAGCAATCTGACAGGTCAGAGATCCCCCAGTAATTCACATCATCATCTATTTTTTTGCCATCAAAATGAAGCAAATATGGTGTAAAACTCAAAGCGACAAATAAAGTTCTACAACAGAATTGACTTGACTGGCAATCAACCTCTGAGGTTGATTTCAGAAACTTTGATACCAAACTCCTGTTAGGCTCATTTTGCAAAAGAAAAGACCTTGCCTATATAAAACCTAGGAAACTTAGTTGAAAGAAAGAAATATCACCTTTTCTTTGGCTTCCTTCTCATTTTTATGCATTACTTTCTTTGAAATCATTCCTAGAAGATGTAGCAATCTCCCAGATAAGGTGGATTTTCCGGAATCGACATGACCAACCTAACAGAGTTACAGAACGATATGTTGCATGCTTAAAAGATATGAAGAAACATGCAAAAACATAAGAAGAATCTAAAATTCTAGATTTCAGCAAGCGAGAGCTTACAATTGCAAGATTTAATTGACTCAAACATCCTTCCTCTTCTGATAAAACCCACTTTTCTGGCTTGTATTCAGCAGCAGAAGTCATTTTTCTTGTGCCTTTGGATTTCTTATCCAATTTAAGAGGATGAAGATTGCTGGATAGAATTTCTGATGCATCTCCATTATCCCTAGCACTGCTGTTCTCACATTGATCAGGATCACCAATTGCAGACAGTGAGGCAGCTGATTTTTCCGTTTTATCAATCTTCGGTGCAAACTTGAGTATTCCCTTCTTACCTGAAGCCCTTGGAGGTGCTGAGTCACCTGGAAGAATGAAAAATAATAATATAACAACAACAGTTACTACTACTACTACTATTACAGCAATCATGCTGAATAGGATAATAATCAAATAGATAAAGGAATAGGAATAGAAGTTAGAGAAATTAAGTAAAGAAAGAAATGATCCAAGTGCAGATATGAAGGCTGAGTGCAAAAGTACCACCCTCCCCTGCCCCCACCCCACCCCCCAAAAAAAAACCAACCACACACACACACAAAGAAAAAAAGAAAAAGACAAAGGAAAAGGAAAAGGAAAAGGAAAAGGAAAAGGAAAGAAAGAAGCAACGAAAGTTCTTTTACATGTTGGTAAAAACTATGGACAACAATAGAGTGCCTCACGTAATGCTCCTGCTTCTGCCACAAGCTCCCTTTTTATGTTGACTTCTCTTTAGTGTTTTCTTTTAAGGGTTTCACAACACTGCTTTCATGGTAAAACCCAAACATTCCTATATCTAAGGAAAGAAACAATGCAAATATGAATACTGCTATAAAGAATGTCAAGATTTTTTTTTATTAAATTGCTATACACCTAGAGTTAGATGTACAAGCTCCCAAGATTTTTCATGAAGCTCAGTCTTTACCAATCGACCAACTCATGGGTCTGCTCCGAAGCTCTATCAAGATGGTCTGTTGAGACAACAACTGCAACAAATGCTTAAGTTAGTTAAGTTCTACCCTCAGACCCAATGGAAAATAACATGGAAAACCAAAGCATTGATCATAAATATCATGCACCATCACTGGTTGACACCGGGGTTCTTACATTGACAGAAACAGTGGAATTGTGCATCATAGTCTTGCAATGCTAAAGATAATTAAATTTAAGTGGAGGCAAAAGCCACCTTCAGAAGCATTCAACAGTTGTGAAATATATCATCTTAATGTGGTGGAAAAGAAGAAATAGGAATTCTGATGAGAAGACATGATAAACAATTGAGATAATCAATCCGCAATGTACCCAATCAGGTGGATAAAATGTATTTGCGAAACTTTAATTCTTTAACTAGACAACGAGATACATGCTCACTACAGTGTCAAAGTCGTAAACTTTTGACTATATGTAGCTAGTTAGCTACCTAGTCAGGTTGCCTCTTTACACTTTTATTTCTGTATATTTCTGTACAAGTAATTATATCCTCCATTCGTAATATTAATAATTCCTTCCTTTAATAAACAAAGCTAGAATATCTAGCTTACCTTTTGAACCGATTCTCGAAGAATTCTTTCCAAAAGAAACAACAGTCATCATGGAGAAAGAGTGTCAAACCCTGAAAGGAAACATTGTATATTCATCAGAAGCACAGTATTCAAATGTCAACATGAAAAAAGAAAAATACTGGGCCATCAGTAATCTGCTTGACTGTTATCATATTCCACGTCCACATGCATGCAATTCACATTCATATACATTCATAAGAAGAGAAAGATCTACATATGGTTTTCATAGATCTAAAAAAAACTTATGATAGAGTGCCTAGAGAGGTAATGTGGTGGGTTTTAGGAAAAATAACATGTATCTAGTATATATATTAATGTGATTATATATATACCTCTCCTCCGACCGCAGCGCCGACCCTAAACCCTCTCCTCCGACCGCAGCGCCGACCACGTGTGGAATCGAGTCGAGAACCCAAACCCTCTCCTCCGACCCCAGATCCTGCTCCCTCTCTTCTCGCCGTTGTCAGATTGGAAACCCAAACTCTGCTCGACGCTTGAATCAGGTGCGAAATTTATATACTTGCTTGATTTAGGGCTTTTTGATGTGGGTTGTTGATGTTTTAAACGATTACTTTCGAGGTTGTTGTTATTCTTGTTATTTTTTAAGCGATTACTTGCTTGATTCTTGCTATTCTTGTTATTTTTTCGAAAAAAACATATATCAAGGAAATTAATTAAGCTCTTAATTGTTTCGTGTTCATTTATATTTTTGCTAGCTGAGAAGCATAATATATAATATCTAAAATAGTTGGCTATTGAAATCAGATGGTGAGGTCTGGACTGAATTTTTTTCCCCATTTCTTTTAAAACCGTTGTTAGGTAAAGTCTAGTTTATAGTTAAAAAAGATTAAGTTGCTCATTATCTGTTTGTGCACATGAAAGATATTTGTTTATGTTTGTGCACAGTAGTCTTTGATGGTTTATTCTTGATGTTTGTTGTTGATGTTAATTTTTGTAGGTAAAAATTGTTCTTGATGTCTGATCCAATAAAAACTGAAGATGGTTGCTCCCATGTTGTTGATGAACAAATATCCCAGTTAGATAACTTAGTTGTGCCAATTGTTGATGAGCACTTAAAACCAAAAATAGGAATGACTTTCGACAGTTTAGAAGATGCTGAAAAATTCTACAGAAATTACGGAAAGGTCGGAGGTTTTGATATCCGTAATAGCACAACAAATTATGGGAAGGATAGAGAATTAATTGGCAAAAGTTTTGTTTGTTCGAAAGAAGGAGTGTTAAAGAGCAAATCGTTGGAAATTCGACGATGTGGTACAATTAGAACAAATTGTAAGGCCTTGATTCGCTTCAAATTAGACAAAAACATTGGCATATGGAGTGTCTACAAGTTCGTGGAAGAACATAATCATACAATTACTTCACCGAGTAGAACACATTTTCTAAGGGGAAACCGTGAGGTCACAAGTGCGAAGAAGACATTAATAAAGCAGTTTGGAGAGGTGAAAATTCCAACAAACAAGCAAATGGCCTTCTTTGAAAACTCTAGCGGAGGTTTTCATAGAATTGGATGCATTGAGACCGATGTGAGAAATTATGAAAGAGATTTGAGAGAGGAGAGGCGTGGTCATGATGCACAATTGATGTTGGATCATTTCAAGTCGGAACAAGAGAAGAATCCTTCATTTTATTATGTTTATGAAGTTGATGCAGAGAAGCGCTTAACTCATTGTTTTTGGGTGGATGGCATTGCTCGAATGAATTATCAACACTTTGGCGATGTTGTCTCCTTCGATGCCACACATAACACAAATCAATATGGCTTGGTATTTGTGCCGTTTGTAGGCATAAATCACCATTGGCAAAGTGTTTTTTTAGGATGTGGCTTGATCCCAAACGAAGAGGCGAAGTCTTTTGTATGGTTGTTTAACAAATGGATTGAAGCAATGGGTCATCCTCCTTCAGGCATGATTACAGATCAATGTCTTGGCATATGCAAGGCAATTGAAACAGTTTTTCCAGAAATTCGGCATAGGTTTTGCATTTGGCATATCTTGGACAAAGTTCCGGAGAAGTTGGGTCAATGGGCTTATAGAACGGAATTTATGAAATCTTTCAAAGAAAATATTTGGGACTCCGACGATGCTAGCTCTTTTGAAGAGAAATGGGTTTCAATTATTAAGAAAAATGGATTGGAAAAGCATGATTGGCTAAATGATATCTATGAAATTCGTGAAAAATGGGCTCCCGTTTATCATAAACAATACTTTTGGGCCAGAATGTCTAGCAGTCAAAGAAGTGAAGGGATGAATGCATTACTAAAAAAACATATATCAAGGAAAAATTCACTTCATGATTTCGTGACTATATTTCAGAGGGTCTTGGCGAGACAAAGAGAGGGGGAGCTTAAAGAAGATCATTGCACAGTAGAGAAAAAGCCAAAATTAAAGACTTTATGGTCAATGGAAAAACAAATGGCCCAAATCTACACGAAAAAAATCTTTTATATTTTTCAAGACGAGCTTCAACCTAGCTTAATGTATAACATTGAGCTAGTAAAAGAAAATGAAAGAGAAAGTACTTTCCAATTAAATTTTTGTGGTCATGATGAAAAATTGAGACATATTATATATTGCAAAACAACTAAACTGGTCCGTTGTTCGTGTTTCATGTTTGAATTCAAGGGCATTCTATGCCGACATATCTTGGCATATCTTAAAATTACCAATCATAGTGAGTTGCCGGAGCAATATATTCTAAAAAGATGGTGTCGAAATGTCAGAAAAAGGGTTGTTCTTAGAGATGGTAATATTATTGGAGATAATGCCACAATTAATTTTGCTTCTCGTTTTAGTGAACTAAATTGCTTAGCTAATGAAATGGTCGAAGAGGGGCTATCTTCTAATGATGCATATGAATTAATGCGTGAAATGATAATGGATGCTATTAAACTTGTGGCGTCACGCTCGACTGATTCGTCTGAACAAGCTCTGCCTTTGAACCTTCAAACTCCTCTTCATCAGACACCCATTTGAAGAATCCACAATTACTCTCTTCAATTCGCGCATCCCAAAAACAATCGACAGGGGTTCCTCTTAGTTCCAGATCTGGAGAGTATAGCCCTCCTTCCACAATGGCACAACAGTCCACGACGATTGCTTGAAGATGACTCCATGATCCACGGCTACAGATACAAAAGTTTAACCAGACAATCATATTAAAGAGCAAATTAGAATATGTGCATCCATATGAAGTTATAGCCAGGTCTACATTCATCCAGATCAAAGAGACATTTCGGTTTTATAGGGGTGGGGGTGGGGGCACCATCCTCATATACTTTAGCTTAAAATCCACAGGTTGCCATCACTGCAGTAAACAATGTATGTACTCTCAAGTGGATAACCAATGTGGCAATAAGCAATCGATGATAGATTAAAAAAACCAAGTTGCAAACATTGTCACATGAATATGTACTGCTAGTCATCTCGATTTGCTTTCGTTCGTATAAGATGTGAATATGGAATCAAGGATCTAGGAGATAAACATATATCACATGAAAAACAGAGACCTTCACTCACATCAGAATCTATAGATCAACGGCTGCAAGATTAAATACACTACGAGTCATATATAGAATATGAAATCCATCAACTTAGAAAGAAAATAATACTCTTTGATATTGCAAAAGCTTCAAATTCTCCCATTCAACCTCAAATAACAAAAGGAGTCAGGTGGATAAATGGAGAATGCTGATACCCTAAGAGACAGCAGTTCTAGAATTTCGATATAACTATAGCTAGAGCTTAATAAACTTATCAAACACAAACAGATCCACATCAAAATCAAAATACCTCATATTACAAAACAAGATTTCCACAAACTTTACCTTGGATTGTGAAAAGGCCCAACTTTGTTGGCATACAAAGGAACATGCTCCCCCTCCTTAAACTTGTGATTATCTCCTTCAACTCCTAACCCTAGCCCAATCAACACAACAAACAGAACAAATCCCCCGATCTTCCTAATCTCGACAAATCTATGGTTCTCAAACAGGCAAATTGAAATCCACAGATCTAAGAACGAAAGCTCATCAAAGATGAGATTTTGTTTCACAAAGAAGGCAACTTTTTGGTGACCCTGAGCTTATAAGCATATTCTAACAAGAAGAACACCAACGGTGGCAGAAGCCCTAAATCAAGCAAGAAGATGAAAACAAACCTGATTCAAGGAAGAGAGTTTGGGTTCTGCGGAGCTCGACGGCGAGAGGGCGTCGGCGCTGCTCGACGGCGAGAGGGCGTCGGCGCTGATCGACGGCGAGAAGGTTTGGGTTCTGCGGAGCTCGACGGCGAGAAGAGAGGGAGCAGGATCTGGGGTCGGAGGAGAGGGTTTGGGTTCTCGACTCGATTCCACACGTGGTCGGCGCTGCGGTCGGAGGAGAGGGTTTAGGGTCGGCGCTGCGGTCGGAGGAGAGGGATCTGGGGGTCGGAGGGGAGTTTGGGGAGAGAGAATGAGGATTTGTATGTAGGATAGAGTAATAACTAGAGTATGAACTAATGAAGGAGAGACTAAACCGTTTCCTATTACCATAGGTTTTTACCAATGGTCAGTCTTAAGTCATTATCTTTTTGCATTAATTATTGACCAACTTACTAGGCACATTCAGGATGAAATCTCATTGTTTATGTTATTTACGGAAAATATAGTGTTAGTTAACGAAACTAGAAGAGGTATAATTTCTAAAGTAGAAAGGTGAAGATAAGCTCTTAAAAATAAAGGTTTTAAAATTAGTAGAACAAAAAATAGAATATATGGAGTATATTAGTAAAACTAAGAAAAGAAAAGAACCTATAGTACATATTGATGGTCAAGAAATATCTAAAAGTAATTATTTTCACTATTTAGGATCTATCATTCGACATGGTGGTGAGATTGAAGATAATGTTGTCCATCGAATCAAATCAGGATAGTTAAGATGAAGGAGTGCTTCAAGAGTCTTATGTGTTCGTACAATACCAATGAAACTAAAAGAAAATTTTTATAGGAATGTTATAAGACCACCAATGCTTTACGGGTCAGAGAGTTAGGCAATTAAAAAAATATGTGCAAAAAAAATGAGCGTAGCAGAAATGAGAATGTTGTGATGGTCTTATGGACATACACTAAAAGATAGGATAAGAATGAGTACAACCATAATAAATTAGAGGTTGCTTCTATTGAGGATAAAATGAGAAAGAATCGACTGAGATGGTTTGGTTATGTATAATGAAGACCTCTTAGTGCACCGGTTAGGAAAAATGATAGTATTATAGTTAATGAGGCTAGGAGATCTTGAGGTAGACGTAAAAGAACTTGGTTGGAAGCAATTAATAAGGATATGATAATGTTTAACTTAATGAAGGAGATGTCCCATAATAGAATGGAATGGTAGAATAAAAAATTCATATAGCCAATCCCTAACATTTAGAATAAAGATTTGTTGATGATGATGTTGTTGTTGTAGACATATATGCATTCATATCCGCCAGTATCCTAAAGTTATAATATACTTGCAATTTGTATTGTCATCGGCTTAAGAAAGTATAAATAAATATGCAAAGATTTGCAAACTGTAACTTCATGCACGCCAATTGAATATATTGAGAACAAAGGCAACTATAAATTAACAGGGAGAGGCCTGTCACCATGCTACATTATTTCATATATTTGATTGGTATGCTATGCATAATTTTTCAACATTTCGCATCATGAAAGCTACGGCTATTTGAAAGATAATGTAACTTTTAAATCTTCAATACTAAGCATGGCACAACAGTAATTAATCTTTATATTCTTCAGCAGTCAATAATCGACCATTTCAATATGGGTTGTTAATCATGCTAAATATATTACAAAGGAAATGAGACTAACCAAAATAATAGCTGACTAGCTGACAGGTCTCTTATTTGATGACATGAGAACAAGCCTTCTATTTTTAAGAGTGGTGTTAGGAGCACACCACCCACCACAATCCCAACCACACTCCCCCCTCTCAATGCTACAGTAAACCAGGCCCCACATGGGATTTTAAAAAATTTAAAATCCTATGTGGGGCCCGGTTTACTGTAGCAATGAGAGGGGGGAGTGTGGTTGGGGTTGTGGTGGGTGGTGTGCCTCTAACATTATTATTTTTTAATTACAAATGCAAAGAAAATACTGAACATACTTTGTTAAAGATTAAGCCCAGTTTCTCTCCCGGTGACGTGTCTACACTTAATACCTCCTAAAGCAATGTCTCTCAACAATTTTTTCATCAATCTAGCAGAATCATACATAGACTAGGATTATAGATGTTAAGGTGAATATCAAAGAAGATTTCACACTTTTATAGCCATTGTTGCATTAAAACTTTCCTGATGCATAATGTTGCCATACTGAACCTTCCAATAGTACAAAATGCAATATAGGAATAAATTCATAATCATGAATTTAAGATCCCATCAATCGTGAAATTCTGAAAACTTCTACCAAGAAAGTGTGCGCGCATACCCATTTAATTCACCCAAGTTTGGATCCTTGCAATGTCAGAAGGGAGCATAAACCACATTCAGAATGATCAATTGCGCTTAATGCACCCAAGTGAAATACATAAATAAACAACACCGTGAAAACTCTTAGCTTGATACTTTAAAATATGCACTGAGCTAGTTAATATATTATACGTTTCTACGTTTCTGACATTCTATATTTTAAAATTGGTTTTTTTTTTGCATGTATACCCCTCAAATCTTCCATATTTGCAAATTTACCCTCCAACTCTTCCTATGTGCAAAGTTGCCCTATTATTCTTTCTTATTGGGTTTTTCTACCCCTCAACTCAACAAAGTTAATGTCAAAGTTTTCTGATAATTTTCAATATGTTTCCAACATTTACCCATTTGGACACTAAAATTGTTAAGCGGGAGGGGTAGAAAAATTCAACGTGAGAGAGTTGGGGGGTAATTTTCCAAATATCAATATTTGGAGGGTAGTTTTGCCAATATGGATGTTTTGAGGGTGTATATGCAAAAACCCCTTTAGAATTACTATTCAACTTATATTAGCATCTAGGCGTCCTGTCTCATTTTCCATGTAGTAGTACTCATTTCACATAGTTAGGCATCAATATAGAATGTATTGTTTAGAATGCATTAAAACAAACGGAAATATTAACTGTAAAAATACTATCAACATACCTATATTGATTGAGCTACTATGCTTTGGAGTCATAAACATTTCCCGAAGAGCATCGAAACGTCCTTTAGCATTTCCTTTCTCATAAGAATCATTGACTCTTTTACTTAGCAACTTATCAAGAACCACATCTTTCTCAGTTTCTCCATGAGGTTTTCGGGCAAAAAGTGATTTAGCCAGCATAGATGCTCCTGAGTCCTTGCCCAAATCACAAACTATATCAAAACATAGTAACAACATCAATAAATAATCAACAAATAAGAAATTAGGGTTAATCGCGGACAGACCCCCTGTAGTATCTCCCAACTGCAAAGAGACCCCATGTAGTTATGTTTGTTGCAAATAGACCCCTTTTAGTTTACTTGTTGCCAATAGAGCCCTGTAGTATTGGCGCAAATGTGAATTCACCCCCTAGTGAATTTTTTTGACTCTTTTAAAAGTAAAAATTATAATAATAATTAGCTATTGGGTGTCTATCCTCACAAATGTTTTAAATGTCGGATGTCGGGCTCATGCCGGGCAGCTAAAATTCATGTCGAATAGCGAAAATCGGGGATATGTCGGAGGACATGTACTGAATATTGGATTGTTATATCAGATGGATTTCTACTCAATGTTGGTCACCAAGATGGAATGCACTTGTCTTGTTATAGCTCATCCTACTTGAGCTGAGTATTTAACATCAAGACACAAGTTATTTTCCATTTCTTGAAGGGAAACAATGAAATATTATGCCAACAAATAAATAAAATACACATTGTCAAACTAGAACTTTTGAAATGATTTGCATAAAATTAACAAAAATTAAAGTGCATTGCATAAAATTGAGATTAAGTATTAGACTTTGGATTCATTTCCAACTATAATTCAAACTTATTGTTTTCATCATGCTTTTATGAATTCGCAATTTTAATTTGTAGAGACGAAGACAAATGAGAGAAGATCGTGGCAGAAAAGAGAGCAACATTTTTTTTCTTTCCCCTAATCTATATTATATGCTATCGGGTTACTATGGGAGCAAGGGGGTAAAAGAATAATTAATCCGGTTCGGGTTTTGAGTACTAAACCTAAACCCCAATACTTCTCAACTAAAAATCGCCCGATTTTTCAAGGCTGAAAATCGGCCGATTTGTCTGCAATATGAAATGGTCATATCCGTGTCACTCTATCCTCTAATTCAACATGTCGGCCGACATTTAAAACCATGATCCCAACCAATAAAACTATAAAGGGTCCACCCATCTCCTCAAACATTTTTAACGATTTTAAGAGTAAAAAAAACGAGTCACTCAAGGTGTTTATTCGCAACAAGTATAACTACAGGGGGGTCTATTCGCAACAAATAGAACTATAGGGGCTCTCTGCAACTGGGTGATACCACATGGGGTATGTTTGCAATTAACCCATGAAATAATCAACAACTGAGAGCTTCAATCAACGGACCTTTTCTCTCATCATTGTTTGCAGCAACGCTAGAGGAATCACGAAAAACACCACACACATCACAAGATAACAAGCCATCATCATTATCGTATGTGCATATGGGGCACTGCCACAGCCCCATCTTATACAGTTTCTATCAATTCCCTGTCAAAACGATCAGAAACTTCAACAAGTATCCACATAATTTATTTATTATAACGAGCAAAGGTTCGAAATTCCTTTTCATCCTGATTAAGTAGTTACAAGTAAATACCTTTATCTAGAAATTAGAACAAGTAAACAGCTGACAGTAAAGCTAGCCTATGAAATGAATAAATGCGAGTACTGGTTTGAATTACAGAAATAAGTAAATTTTGATACTAAATCAGGGAATTCCCAAAGAGATTAAAAAAAAAGGGAGGAACTGCACTAAGAAAAGAAAAAGGAATACGTACAACTAACCACAAAATTTCTTATAATTTTAGCTCTATCTAAGAAAAGGAAACGAATAGATTTTTTTTTTTTTTAAATCCTTCTTTGTCTTCTGATTAAACTACTGCAATTAAACAACTTTATCTAACAAGAGAAAGCATAACCCAACAATGCGAGCGCTGGATTGGATTATAGAAATAAGCAAAAAAATTATTTGTAATCAGGGTTTTGCAGAGAATTACTAAAAAGGGAGTTATACTGAGACTTTGAGCTCAAGCATCAAATTGCATTTGGATATACTAAAAATTAAACGAATATTAAAAAGAACTAAAGAAACTGAAGGTGAAGGGTGAAATTGGGGTGAAATTACGCCCTGACCTGGTTCGATTATTTGCTAGATCCCCGATTGATTTTGCGGGCACTCAGATTTTGGGACGGTGGATCGAGAAAATATTCAGTTTTTGCTGGGCCGAGTCACGGTGGGCTTTAACGGGCCGGATGCTAATCAGGGCACGAGAGACGAACATCAATGGGCATGTTTGTTTGCACGAAAGTAATAAAGAATTAACTGAAGTAGAGGAAATTTCTCCTACTTCAAACAAAAAATTATATTTGTTTCTTCGAAAAGACTACTTTCAGCTAATTCTATAAATACAGATGTGACGTTTAGATGACACTCCTACTTCTAGAGGGGAAGTGGATAAAAAGTGGGGTCCACTTAAATTAGAGATTTACCAAGAGTAGATGATCTTAAATGATTTATCCAATTTTTATCCAAACAAACAAATAAATAAAAGAAGATGATGAAGTACTATTTCCGCTACTTCTAAAAATATATGAAACAAACAAAATAAATACTATTTCTGCTACTTTCTACTTCATAATTGAGGAAGTTACATCTTCGATCCACTTCTTACTTCTAATAGTTACGTCCATCCAAACGGGTCCTAAAAGCAATTTGACGGCGAGGAAGATAAAGGAATTTGTCAACTAATAATAATAAAAAGAAAGAGAAAGTGCTTTTGGCTAATTGGGAAAACAATTGGCTCGATTTGTTTAGATTAAAATTTTCAAATTCGAACCAACTAAAATGTAGCCTAAAACCAAACTGCACTGACAAATTTTGGTTCAAACTGTGATTAATGTTCAGCCCCACGCATGCCATAGAAAAACCATTTTATCTCTTGGATAGAATTTGACGGCTCGCAAAGTTGACAATTAGACCGGGTGTCTACTCCTAGTAACGCTATAGGATCATATTAAATTAGATAATAATCTTGGTTCAAAATCCGAGTCATGCTTGCTCAAATGTAAATGATAGTTATGTGTAAATAACTATCTTGTAGGTTATTTAGATTTTTTTTTATTCTTAGTTTTTTTTACTGGTGAATAAGATTTTATTTCAGTCTCACAACTAGAACAAAATAGAATGCGATACAGCAGTACATGTCGTAAAATATATCGGAGTACGTTAAACTTAAAATTTGTCGCAATCTGTTAACAAATTTACTATTCTTAGACTATTCTAGGTCTCCTTAGTCTAAAATTGGAACCACACAAAGTTGTAAATTGAAGTATGGGAGTTAGAGGTAGCAAATGATTAGAGGAAAAAAGAGAAACTTTTCGTCATAATAAGCTTGCAATTTCATTTACTGGTCATCTCAACTTTTTAAGAAATCTTTCACAAAACTATCATGCTATTACATGTTTGGAAAAAAACCACCATAAATTATTTTTATTAGAAACGTATCACGTTACTTTCAAATTTGGAAGGGGTGAAAAAGGCCTAGTGGTTAGGGTGAGAGAGCAGTTATAAAAAGGAAATAAGAGCAAAAATGCGTTACTTGCATGTCACATACCCAACACGCACTAATGGCCATCAATTAGAGCATTTTACCGGAAAAATCGCTGGCTTTTTCTTGAATAAGATAGCTTATAGATTTTTTTTTGATATGAAATCTTCGACATTACATAATAATTTTGTGAAATTTAGTCTTATTCATTTGGTAACAGAAATAGGAACTTCCATATACTTTTAGGTACCGTTTGGCCGGGCGGGGGCGGGGGCGGGGGGTTACCCCTTCTTAATCCACCAAACAAAAAAAAATCTGTACAAGAGTTAAATCGAGTTAACCCTCTATAATTTACCAAACATAAAACATATAGAAGGTTTAAGCTAACCCCTCTAGAGGGATTAAAATGAGTTAACCCCTCAAAATGAGGGGTTTACTAATACTCCTATTTAGAAGGATTAAGAGTTAACCCTTCTAATTACAAAAAAAATAGTCAAAATCGTTGTTATTCCCAAACACTAAAACTGATCACAATAACTAAAATAAAACTTATTTAACGGGTTAATAATTTAGTCCTTCAGATTATCGAATAGATTAATTATATTAATCATTCTTTTTAACCCCTCTTCCTTAACTCTTTGACAAACGGGGGGATTAGGTTACACGTGCCAAAATCTAGACAACAGAACCTAAATAAAGGAGATATAATTGGGATGATCGGGTCGCTGTTGAGATGGAAGGGAGGGTTAGCTTGAAGAGAAGTTGACATAGCTAGCCTCGGAAACCTACTGATCGGATGCCTTCACGTACATCACGAGGCTAGGTCCTGGCCAAAAACCCTCTCATCTTCAAACCAGAGGATTATAGATAAAATAAACAATCTGTAAATGCTAAATCTTTTAAAATTAAGAGATGAGCTATGCTATTATATATACACACATAAGATTGTTGTCATTTTGTCACAAGGGTTAAGGAACACCTCTAGATGGTGTTTCTTTTGACATTAGGATGTGCTAGTAGTCTCCGTCTTATCAGGAGTGTCATCCTGAGTTCATGACATCAATTAGGTCAACAAGAAGTCTATCGAAAGATCTTTTATGGACTGTTATAAGTAGATACTAACTTGAATTGTCTGATCGGACGTCAATGTGGAGAAAACCAGAAAAAAAAACTAGCTTTTCTGTCATAAGCCGACTCATGCACATGCATAAGTCGACTTATGGTAAGTCGACTTGTGTCTGTGCACGAGTCGACTTACGTTCTGCTCTGGAGTTGTGATTTTTTCGCTCTGTCAAGTCGACTTGTACGTGAAGCATGTTAAGTCGACTTACGAACTGTTCTCCAGTTGCTGTTTTTCTCTCTGCCAAGTCGACTTATGGCACCTGTTAAGTCGACTTATGACTGGTTTTTTGCACAGGTTGGTTTCTTGTTTGGACTCTGTTTGGGTTTCTGTTTGGATATAAATAGGGACACGATTTTCTAGGGTTTAACATCAGATATTTGAGAGATTCAGAGAGGCTATTGAGCATTGTGAGAGGGAGATATTGTGAGCAAGTTAAGAGCTTTGGTTGAGGGTTAGTTTGAGTGGTTTTGTATGATTGTAACCCTTTTGTACTCTCATTGATTTAGTGGGATCTCCTCATCCTCTCCCCGTGGACGTAGACAAATTGCCGAACCACGTATATCTCTGTGTTTGGTTGGATTTGTCATTTTTGGATTGGATTGTGCTTGTGTGTGGTTCATCTTCTTCCCGTGATCTCAGAATCGTTCGGTATGCGCGTGCACGCTTCCGCATAGGCGCGCGACAGTCAAGGGCATGCCGGTCTAAGGGCGGTAGGAAAATGATAGAAACATTAAAAATAAAGAAATTTAACGTTATTTTAACGACTTACTTGCACAAGGAATATTTTCAATCATGCGGAAAATTATTAGATTATACTTTAGAAAAGAAATTTAGATCTAAAGAGTTTATTCTCCTCCCGCTTAGAGGTATCCTAAGTGATGCAACATGGCTGTATTGTACGGATCACATGTCAATAATTGACAAAAAAAGTTTTTTTTTTGGATCGATTATAAAAATACAAAATGAGCTTGATGGTCACTAAACCAACGGATATTAGTTCTAATTATATACACCAAAACTTATCTGTATTGGTTCTTTTTGCAACAAAGCATGACCTGGATTAGTCCACTTGGTGATTAATGAAGACGGCTCAAGAAAAGTGAAGTAGAAATTATCCTCTCAAAGTTGCTTACTTATGTGCTAATTAGTATTTATTAGTACTTTCGCAAATCCATCAGATATTAAGTCCTAAAGGTTACACTTTTCCTCTGATTTTTAAAGCCTTACAGCTAATCCGTACATGACACGAATACGCAGGGGAGTAAAGTTCTCTCTTTTACCTTTTTACAAATGCAGGTTTATCTCCCGTGCATTAGACACTAAAGTGACTTCTCCTTAGCAATGCACCTGAAGAGTGTTGCAGATCCATGAAAGAATGAACTAAGAGCATCTCCAACAGCTTTTCCAAAATTTTCTTCAAAATGGGGAAGCAAAAGTCATATTTTTTAACTAATTTTTACACCAACTCCAACAGCTTCCCCATTTTGAAGAATCCTTTTTTTCCTCCAAAAATTTGGAGAATGCTGCAGATTTGGGGAAGCTTCCCCTTTTTTTCTCCTCCATCCCTATTTTGGGGAATGAGATGGGGAATCTGTTGGACCAAAAACCTAACTAAATTCTCCAAAAAGGAGAAATGGGGAAGCTGTTGGAGATGCTCTAACAAAGCAGAGAAAATTAACAACCACATAAATGTCGGTATTTAGCGAGGTTCGACAATCTATGTAATTACCTATATCTTAATAGAATAACCGGGTCATGATTTCACAAACAATAATCAACGGAGATTACAAACTCTAATTTTGCTGTCCTCTGTCGTATGTTTTTAATATTCCCTTTTGAATGTTAGACACTATGCCACCGAAGATACCAAATTATATGAGCGCTTTTGTCTATAAATTCGTCCGCGATCTCCCCTAGCTGGGGAGAAAATACGGATCCTGATGCTATATACTTTCCATGTAAATAAATTAGGCTCCACAGTAAACCTTCAGAATATTGGACACTTCTTACCTTGATTATGATTTGTCTGAGGTCAAAAATTAGGTACAATTTACAAGGGATGGTAGTGTGAACTATACTAGAAATAATTCACAAGTCTCTAAATATTGGGCTATTTATGATTTAGCAGATGAAGATTCCATCTGTAACCAATGTATGTACTTGTATGATCCGTTACTTTAAAAAAAAAAAAACTATGATTCGCGTTGTTTCTATGTTTAGGGAACACACTCTACTTCAAACCGTCCTCAATGTTCTCTTTTGACCTTGTGATGGTAACAATGAAGCAAAAGGTTGGAAAATACCCCCACAACACGTACAAGGAAAAGTATCCATATGTGGACCACTGAATCCAACTAAAATCTCTGTGGTCCACCAACACAGTACTATTTCCTTTTTTTTTTATGTCACT